TAAAGGGTGACCATTTGATAGATAGCATATATCAAAATTCAGAGTAAGAAATTATTTGGATGATTTGGTTGCTTTACAGCTTGAAGAAAGTTGCTGAGTGTAAGGAATGGCAGTGAAGAATAAGAACAGTTTTAGATTGAATAGACTGTTTGATTGAATTAGGTTTCATGTGGTGGACTGGCTAAAATCTTTAGAGCTCTTGTTGGTTCCAAACACGTGTTTATGCTATATTCCTGCCTCCTGAGTATTTTTGGTCAGTGACTCTTTGAATAAATTCTGTCCTTGAATGCCATTGACATTTATGTTGTTGTTAAGGTGCTGAAAGTGTATGAAATTCTCTTTGATTTGGCTTGGTCTTCAAAATTTTTCAAGTTGTGATTGCAATATTTTCTAAACCTCAGAACAGCTTCAAATGTTGTATTAAAGTGAGGTGAAAACAATCAGTGTTGAAAAAAAAAGTAATAGTTTGATAAGGAATACCATGTACTCATTTAGGCAATTGTTTACCTTAGTTTGTTTGGAGCTTGTTTAATTGAAATATTACTCAAGTTGAGTAATGTATAGAAATTATGTTTTGGGAGGGTAGGTATTTTATAAATGCAATTATCCACACTTTTATAAAATGCAGTAGAACTCTGCTAACTCAAACACTGTAAACTCAAACCTGCAGTAACTTTAACAAGATTGGTTTGCCTTGGATTTGAACCCCTTTCTCCTGGAATTTACTACCAGGTAGCTTGAACTCAGTTAACTCAAACTTCCCATTAACTTGAAGTAATGTTACTTTCCCTAGGCTCAAATTTACCCAACAAAGGTGAAATGAAAGTGAAAATGTTGGTTGATAAAGTACATTTTGCTAAACTTCGCACACTAGAACCTTTCATAAAATGGCTATTACAAAAGTAAATGTAGATAATAGACTGGTGAAGAGATGATTCGTTATGAATTAAAAACAGGTTAATTAAAATTCACCAGCAATGTTGATAACTGAAATCCCTGGGAGTTTGAGTTAAGGGGTTTTACTGTCACTGTCATGTACAGATCAGAGTTCTATGGGAGTGTTAGCTGTTGAACCCTTCATAAATGGATGAGTTGCTACTTGATGCTGTTGGAAGGTTGATGAGATAGAAAGAGCCATAAAATCTTCCAGATGTACTTGTTATCCAAAAATTGGAAAGTAAATAAATGTTTTCATTCAACCTTTTCTCTCAAGTGGAACATGTTCTCTTTATAGTTTGGATTTGCAGTTGTTCTAACATAGATGTAACTACTGAGACCAGGAAGTGAGTTTGCAAGATGTGTTTTTCTTCCAGGATTGTTAAGGGGGATGG